CCCGGCTCCGGGCACAGGAGATTCCCGGCCCTCCCCGCGCCCGCCGGGGGCCGGGCCCGCCCTGCGCATTGGCCGCGCCGCGCGTCACTCCCGGCGGCGGCGGCGGCAGCGGGGCCGGGACTTCCTCGTCGCCGCGGCGGCAGCGGCGGGGCCGGCGGCGGTGAGTGCCGGGGAGGGAGGGAGGGAGAGCTCAGCCCTGCGCTGGGGCTGCTGCCGGTCCCGCGACCGAGCCCTTGCGTGCAGGAGCCGAGGCTCGGGCGCGGCGGAGCCCCCGCCGCCCTCCCCGGCGCAGGACGCGCGTCCCCGGTTCGGGGCGGGGAGCCCGGGGCGGCCACGGGGCTGCGGCAGGAGCCGCTCGCCACCGCCGCTGCTGCAGCATCRCCGGGCTGCGGGGTGGGCTCGGGGCTGCTGCCGCTCCGATGTGTGCCCGCCGGCAAGCGCCGGTCTGGGCGTGGGAAGCGGCCGCAGAGAGCGAAGAAGCCCGGGGTGTCCGGGGTGAAGGCAGGGAGGGAGAGGTGTTTCTGCTGGGGTTGYAAAATGGAGGTGATGGCGGAGGGGTTGTCATATTCGGTTTTAGGTATCTATTTTTGTATGTTTTCTGTGGGGGCACGTCAATCTGAGGGCATGCGGCTGTGCAGTGGGAATGTTCTGCTCCTGCTTTGACTCGTTTGCTGGTACACCTTGCGTTCTCTTACTCTGTAACCTGGTTTACACTGGACATGGAGTTGGACTGAAACGGAGGCAAAAGAAGAAGAAGAAAGTGGGCTTGGAGGCTTAGTGGCAAGAAGGAGGCAGTAAATTCCGTCATGGTTGAGCAATGCTGGTAAAAGAAACACATTTGCTATCTAAAATCTCACAAACAAGARGGAAGGAAAAACTTGTTTATTCATGCCCTGCCTGTTGGCAGATCTCTTTGTTTAGAGAGCATTGAGTCTTGAGGATTGTTTGTTGCAATCGTGATATTTACTTAGCTGACTTTCCCAGAAAGGGCACAGAGTGGAAATGGCTTTAGAATATGTTTGTGCGACTGTGAAGAGAACTGTGCATGGCATGAGAGCTTTTAAAAAGAGGAAGGAAAAGAAAAAGAAAAAAAGCAAAATAAAATACATCCTGCCATGATCACACATGCAGCATTATTATTTTACCAAACCATCGGGGTTATTTTTTCACCAAAACATATTTAGTATGCCAGCAGAACCTTATTATAGCAGAGGGTGGGTCTTCCACCCACAATAGATTTCCTCAAAATACTCCTCACAGTGTGAGGTTTTCCTAGCTCTAGCTGTGCTATGTGCATCCTTCACTGTTTTGATGGTGAATTATTCCTGAAGTGTCAGGGTCTGAGGATGTGGCGATATGGTCCCCCCCCCCCCTTTTTTTTTTTTTTTTTTTGAGTATGTGGGGATTCTCTGCAAATTACTGGCTTTACTGCATTGCATCTGCTCTTATCTCTGAAACATGAATACCAAGCTGGCTGCATTGGGATTTGTGAAGTGCAGGAATAGGTGATGTGGTTGCGTACTGCAGTTCTTGTGCTGTTTGCAATCCAATTTTTAAAAGGAACTGTGAACTTCAATCCCTAGCTGATGCATTTAAGAAAAACATCTCTCCTGAGGGTTTGCCCTCTGAAGCTAAAAATTCAGCTTTTTTGAGGTGTATTGAGCTGGGTGCTAGAAATATTAATCACGTAAAATTTCAGATAAGTGAATATAAATAATATATATACTATAATATATAAATATAAATAATTTAAAATATACATATGTATGTGCGGGCATATGTCTGTTAGTGCTTGCCTACAATAGAAACTTTCTATCTAATTGGTTTAGTACGAGAAAGGTACGCAGTRTGTAGAGGTAGTTTGCAATGTAACACACACTTTTACTTCTGCTACTGTCAAAGAAGAGTAACCGCCTTAACCAGATTGGAAACAGAGTGTGAAATTGTCATTTAAAGCCTCGTTGTGTTGTAGGAATAGCTCCTTCTTTAACATACACTTTATTAAGACCTCTGGCAGCTTTTTTTAGGGGGAGAAAAAAACAGCTCTTAAAACTGTGGTTTTAAAAATGGGCTATGTCTTCAACATAAGTAAATTCACCAGGCCTTTGGAAATATTTAGCTGYGCCTGTACACTCAAATTGTAAGTGRCTATGTTGGGTTTTTGCTCTCCAGTGGAAGGTGTTGGTCTGTTCCTGTGAAGCTGAGCTGCACAGAGATWTATTGGCAAAGTGTTTGGAAGATGSGAGGTGGGATTCGATAGAGATGATTTAAAAGAGCTAACAGAAAAAMCTAGTGAAGGCCAGATTGTCTGTGTCTGGTATAAGGATTGTTAAATTTGAGGGGCTTCAAAAAATCTGGCCTCTAGCATGAATGGAGGGTTGAACTCTGAAATATCACCCTAGTGTTTATTATGGACTGCTGGGAGTTTGAACTC